CGAACCGCGTCCCTCCGCCGGCAGCCCGGGGGAGGCCGGGCGCTGACCGCCGGAGAGCCTCCCTGCTGCGGAGTCGGCTTTCCCGCGGTCTTCGTTGCAACCTGCGATAAGATTTTGCGTTTAGATAGCGTTAGCCCCATTGTTGAGACGGGGAGGGTGGAGATCGTGCCTTAGGAAAATGTTATAACTTGCCTTGCAACTTTTTGCGTTTCCCACTCCAGATGTGTGTTGCTTACCAGATTTAGGAGGGTAGAGATAATCTTTCAACACTTTTTTCTTTTTCTTTTTTTTTTTTTTTTTTTTTTTCCCACAATTTACGAACGCTGTGGATGGTATATGTTTCAAAGATTGTAGCTGTGCTTTATTTTAATAGATTGCAGTGATAGAAGATAGACACCCAGGAGATTTTGCCTTTCGCCATGGCTCAGTTTGGAGGACAGAAGAATCCCCCTTGGGCTACTCAGTTTACAGCCACTGCAGTATCTCAGCCAGGTCAGTTTACGTATCACTTAATGTTTGAACCCTGACATCTAGTAGATTTGGAGATTCCATAGTTGGGTACGCAGTTGAGAGTGGCACCATGCTAACTCACTTACTTTAATTCTGTTTAAATGGTTTCAGTTGGGAGTTTTTCACACAATAGAGACATTAAAGATCATTGCTTAATACTAGGCGTTGGGTTGTTAGTTTTCTAAGAGATTATAAGTAAAATCCCAGGTGAAATTTTATTGATTTTCTTGGTCAGTAAACAAGATATTAAGTTACTCATATCCAAAGATGTGTAAATCAAATTACATTTCATCAAATTGCATTGCTCTAGATTAAATAATACCAGCACTAATGAGGCATTACAGATTTTTTAAGTGCTGCCTGAGTTTCATTTCTCAGGCTGCCTAAATCAATGTTTACAAAGTATTTTGCCTTCACTAATGTGTTGGACATGCTTCCCATAGTGAAGAGGTCTCTGAAATTTGCTATTTGGATTGGGAGGGTGTATATATATATATATATATATTTTAATGCTAAGTTACATCTCAAGGATTCCCTATAACCAAATGTATTGCCCTGGTAATGATAGTTTCCTTTGATTTAGGCAAGAAGCCTTATTTAATCGCAGGCTACTGTATTTAAAAACTTAGCTGGCTAGTTTTTCGTGCTTCACATTGTTTCATAGCATAAAAGGTTTTGAGGGAAGAACGTAAAGCTTGCTGCATGGTGGATCTTGGTGCTTCCATTTCCAGTTCTGGGCTGCCACCTTCTCTTCTTAAATACAAAGAGTTTGCTAAAAATTGTGGTTTCATTGTCTGATGTGAAAAGGCTTCAACAAAGCTGTGGTAGTTTGAGGATTCAGGATGTCAAAATGTGAGGGCAGGCAGCAACCTTGTCAAAGAGATGAATTTCTAAGGATTTGCATGGGTTTTTTTCAGTTGTCCTTTGCATCTTGCTCTGGTTTGGTATGAAGTGGAATGACATACCTCCTTTGTCAGGGGTTTGATGTCTGGGAGCTTAGCAAAAGTTGGGAATGCCTGCCCTTCTTTGGAGGTGCGTGTCTGAGGGTGGGGGGCGAAGGACAGATCTTTCTTCTGACTTGTTTTTCTTTCCTCAAATGACTCCTCCATCTCCAGTTTTTACTTTGGGCACTGGTCCAGTCTGAGTGCGTGTCGTCGGGCAACTGCCCCCCTCCATGTGTTTCACAATACTTGGTCCCAGTGTGCCTTTTCTTCCATGTCTGTTCAGTCCCATTCTCTACCTGAACTGTTGCTGTACCTAACCAGCTGCCTACAAGCAGTTTTGCACTGTTGCTCTGAACAGCTCACACTTCCCGTATCCAAATGGCACTACTCTTCTGTAAGAAATTGCTTGATAGCTGGAAAGGGTCGGTGTTGTGAACATGGAAGAGACAAACTTTGCTTTTGGTTTTTGTGTCTGACTGGGTGATGCCTTGGAGCAGTCAAAGGGTGGCAGCATCTGAGCTGGAGTATTCTTGATACACTGGCTGATGTGACAGCTAGTGAGTCAGATGTAGTGGTGGAAGAGTGAGGGCAGCTCCATGTCCTGTTTCAGAGGGAAAGCTGCGTAAAACCTGCTGAAGGGGAGGAGCTGGCAGCCATCTTAGACCTCGCTGAGCTGGGACCAGAAGGGGGCCCTGGAGGAGGTGGATGGAGCAAGGGCACTAGAAGCACACACCAACTTCTTATCGATTTTCATGTTCCTATGACTCTGGCTTTGGTTAGCCTACTTCTGAGCCTCCTTAAATGAAGTGCAAAATTTAATTGGGATAGGACTGCTCAGCATCAGTTGCTGTGAGAGCTTTTTTACCTGCTCAGTGAGGACAGTATCTCCAGGGATTTTTAGCTGTTCATCTGATCCAGCAGCATCTGATTGAAACATGAGAGCCAATAAAGACTAACATTTGATTGCACTTTTGCCTTCATCCTATGATAGTTCCACCTTCGCTCATGTGTTCCTAGTGTCCTTTTTCACACTGTAGTGTATCACTGGAAGGCTTTTAGCTCCTTGCATTCTTCTGTGCAGTCCTTTCCTGTTCCTACTGCAATACACAATCACTGTGTCTCTGTCCTTCTTCCCTGTCTGTACTACTGAATCCAGTCCCTGGGATTCTTCCATGCAGCTTCCATTTTAATACCCATGTACATACTTTGTCCCCTGCTTTTTTTATTGGCAGTGCTGATTTATAATACAGAGCACTGGAAACTTCTTTTGACAAGTACGCAGTGCTCTTTGGCCCTGCTGAGAGCTGAAGAACAGCATTGAGTGTTAAGCTGCAGCTACATAGTCAGTAAACTTTCATGCACTTTCCAACATGAAGCTGTGACTGTCCAGCCAGGTTGCTGGCCTGATGGAGAATGATGCTGTCAGTGCTTAGGGATGCTGGCTAGCATATACCACTACTCACCTGTGGCTGCGCTCGAAGTTGTGCAGATTGGCTTACCCTTGTGAAGCTCAATGTTCATAAACTGATTTAAAAGAACTACATTTGCCAAACTCTTACATATTTTCAGAGGATTGGCAGAAGGTGTTATGTATATTTATACATGCCAGTTGCTTTTATCCAAGTGTCAGTTTCCTTCTCCAAAGCATCAAGGTGCTTGGGTATGGGGGAAGGAAATCTTGATTTTTATAACACAAGCAGCATGATACGTGGTTTTTTCCTAAGCTCTTGTCAACAGTGGAGAGTGATGGTGTTATAAACCCAGTTTGATAATTGCAAAAAGGTAATTTCAGGGTTGGTTTCGGGTTTTTTTTGTATTGCTGACTTGGATGCTGTCTTTGCCATCCCTGGTGAAGAAATAACTAGAAGAGTGAAAACTCTGAATTCTTAAGGTATGACGCTCTAATGTGGTTGTAGAGTGACATGCTGTGTAATGAAGGGTTCCTGGGATCCTTTTGGGATACCTTACTAATTACTGTCTATTCCTATGGTATTAGAAGAGAGACGGGTAATTCCAGGTGCCAGCAGAGATCTATGCGTGAAGAGAGGCTCCTACTTGTAACACAGTGAAATTATTTCTCTACTCCTTGTCTCATGGTTTTGTGTATCACATGACTAAAACCAGAATAAAGTCCCTGCTATGCTGGTTGAGTGTTGTTAAAGTGTGATTTAAGTCATGCTTTATCTACAGAAAAATAAATTTTAAAAAATTAAAAATTAAAAAATTCCTAGATAGCACAGATTGCTTTTTGCAAGTACTCTTATACTTGCATAACAATGTGCAAGTTCCTGAAACACCTGCAAAGGCGAATCCCCTACTATTCTCTCAGCTGTTAATTTTTCACATGTCTTTGGTTTGTGTTGCAGTGCTTGGCAGATGCCATTTTCAGGGTTAAGATTTCTGGTTGCACAGTGAAGCCCATTTTTACAGAACTGTAGTCAAGGGGAGGTCCTAGTTGTGCTGTGTTCTGGTTGATTAGTGTTGTCTTTGCTGTACCAAGACTTCATTGCATTAGAGTGAAGAACAGTGCACCTGATGAAAGTAAACGTGCCTGAAGCTCACTATCTTATTGCTGGTGGCCCTGTGAGGTGACTAAAGAAAAGCGTACGAATAGGATGAATAGCGGATCTCAGAGCCACTAAGAAATAGCTGATGCACAATTTGCTGTCCTGCTGTAAACAGATGTCCTGCAATAAATACGCTGAGCCTAATTTCTTATTGTGTGCCTGTTAAAAGGAATATTTTTTTTTACTAGGTTGTATAGTGTTTGTATTGCAAGTATGTTAAACTTGAAGAAACTTAAAAAAGCAGGGACCCAAACTCACAATTTCTGACAACTGTGATGTATCCAAAGCCCTGGATAGGTACTCCTTTACTTTAATCCTAATAAATCTACATCACTTACTAAGGAGATATATGTAGCTACGTATTTTGAAGAAGTTTCCCTAATCTTAAAGGGTCTTTGGAATTTAGAAGCAGCAAGAGGGACTACTAAATACTATCTTTTTGTTGCTACAACAGAAATTTCTGTTACCTAGAAAGATGCTTGGGCTGCAGTCTAGGACCCTGTTGGATGGTCGTGCCATGCAGCATTTGGTGTGAGTGGAAGTTTAGACTGCATTAGAAGGAAGGCGTCTCCATCACTGTACTTACTGAGATAATTACAAATCCTAAGAAGCTATTGTTTGTCACTGCAGATACTTGTTGCCAATAATAATACGGCAGTTAGATGTCAGTTCCACACTCAGTCTGTGATTTATTCTGTGTGATTTTTTCTTTTTTTTTTAACTATTAATGCAAACACGAATGCCTGTTTAATTGGAGCCTGTTTGACCAAGAGGAGTACATAGATGAAAGGCAGTCAAATTAAACTCCTGTAATACTTGAGGACAAATTGGTAGGAACAAGATACAGCTTTGAAAAACTTTTTATTACAGGTGTTAGTCTATGAGGGGATCTCAGCAGTTTTTTGTCTTTGCCCTTTGCTAGTAAGTTGATCTGCGGTGTTGTAGATGACATGATACCCAGTTAGTATTAAATGCTCATAAAGTGATGGTAGACATGGCAAATTTTTTTTTCCCTCTTAACGAGTGAAATGGGATAAGAGTCTTAGGGTGGGCTGAGAATTATTTGAGATAATTGTGGTTTATGCTGGAAGGGAAATTGTCACAGTGGAAACTGAAAAGTGGAGTAACCCCAAGATCTGTTTTTGGGAGCAAGCATGTTAATGTTTTTGTGGGTGTGCTTGGTATAAAAATTAGGAGAGAACTTGTGAAACTTGCTTGATGATGCTTCCTAACTCCATCCTCCTGTGTTGGTACAACATTAGAGTAGAACATTAGAATGAATGACAATAGCTAGTGTAGTCAAACAGATTCAAAGGTAATAGCATGAAGTGAATTTATGCCCTAATAGGAGTTTCTGCTCAGCATGTGGAAATATGATGAGATGATTTGCTTTGCATGAGCCAGCAAAGCAATGCAGGCAAGAAAAGTCAAAGTTGTCCCAGGGTGCAAGCAGCAAAGCACTTTCAGTACATGTAAAGGTCTGTTTTAAGGTGTGTTGCATGAGGCATTGGTGAGGTTCCAGATGAGAGTGTGCTTCTGGTTGGTCAAAAATGCACATTCAGATTGGAGCTGATAGTGTGAACCTCATGAGGTTCAACAAGGCCAAGGGCAAGGTCCTGCACCTGGGTTGGCGCAATCCCCGATATCAATACAGGCAGGGGGATGCAGGGATTGAGAGCAACCCTACCAATAAGGACTTGGGGGTACTGGTGGATGAAGAGCTGGATGTCAGCTGGCAGTGTGCGCTCACAGCCAAGAAGGCCAACCATCAAAAAGAAGCATGGCCAGCAGGGCAAGGGAGGTGATTCTGCCCCTCTGCTCTGGTGAGACCCCACTTGGACTCCTGCATCCAGCTCTGGAGCCCTCAGCACAGGAAAGACAGGGAGCTGTTGGAGCGGGTCCAGAGGAGGCCACAAAAATCATCAGAGGGCTGGAACACCTCTACTAGGAGGAAAGGCTGAGAGAGTTGGGGCTGTTCAGCCTGTAGAAGAGAAGGCTCCAGGGAGACCTTGCAGTAGCCTTCAGTACCTGAAGGGGGCCTACAAGAAAGATGGAGACAAACTTTTTAGCAGGACCTGTAGCATTAGGGCAAGTAATGGTTTTAAGCTAAAAGAGGATAGATTTAGACGGGATATAAAGAAGCACTTTTTTACACTGGCACAGGATGCCCAGAGAGGTGGTAGATGCCCTTTGCCTGGAAAAGTTCAAGGCCAGGTTGGATGGGGCTCTGAGCAACCTGCTCTGTTTGAAGATGTCCCTGCTCATTGCAAGGGGTTTGGACTAGACAGCCTTTAAAGGTCCCTTCCAACCCAAACCATTCTGTGATTCTATGACTAGCAGGAGGCAAGAGGATCAGGAGAATGGAGAGCTTGTCACAGGAGAAGCCTCAGATTTGGCTTACTTGACTTCTAAAGAAACCTGAATATTGGAATTTTCCAGGGGGAAAAGTAATGTAATACTGGAAACACTGTAATTTTGCTTGATTTCACTATTAAAATGGTATTACTTCATGCAATAGTTACATGACAATATTTGATGCAAATCATAGTGGCGGTGATTTTTACTGTTGCTTACATACTGCTTTAATGTTTCATCCTGAAATTGTAAGACGATCGGTGCCATCAAGTTGTTTTCTGAAGATTGTACATTGCTGGATGGAGCAGTGTGGTAGAGGGGATTACATCATTTGGGATCTGTTGAGTTGGTTACAGCGTTTTTGTGTATTCTGTGGTGACGATCACCAATTACAAGCAGTCTCTTGCTGCATCCTCTGGATTAGGAGTGACCGCTTCATTTTAGATCAGTAAGAATGGTGTGGAGCACAAACTCTGCAGGAAGAAAACTGTAAATGTGATCTTCATTTCATTGTGCCTCCTTAATGGCTTTGGAAGAGAAAGGAACCCTGTTCAACTGGAATGCTCTTCAGTTCTGAAGGGGGCTGACCGACCTGTTTTTGCTGGCAATATGTTTCCTGGCGGAGTTTGTCTTTGGTTTTATTAAACATGTGGATAGACTGATAGCTCAGTGAGGTGATATTTGATCATGCAGCTGCAGATAACTTTTTTGAAAACTCCTGCCAAAGAGGGAGCAGGTTTCCAGATGTTTGCAGTTTTTCACTTAGATTTGCCTTGTGCAGGGCTCTATGTCCCTGAAAGTTCCTTCCAGAAGACTTAAGCATACCTTGTTCAGAAGTGTTGCGTGTGTAAGCAGCACAGCATGTGGATATCTGTCCCTCAGGATTTGCTTAATCTCCTGCAGTGAATTAAAAGCTTATATGACAATAAAATAAACTAATTTTTCCTTCCAGGCAGTTTGAGTCTGGGCAGCAGAAACCGTTCCTAGTAAGAGCTGGAGAGAGCTTGACTTGGTCCCTTTCTCTGTGGGGACTGATTAAACTTCTTGTTGTTATAGGGCTATTCTTCTCTGCCAGCCCCCATATCTACAAAATCCATCTCAGAGTGGGACAAAGACAGTACTGAGTGACGTGAAGCCTTGTGCATTTCCGGAGGACATGTTCCATAAGCCTCTGTTTCATAGCTGCTATTACAGAAAAGATTTGTCTTGCCCTCACAATAGAATGGATTAATTAATTTACAAAACACAGCAACAATCTTCATCAAGCTCATCCAAAACCTGAAATACATTCAAGAAAGAATACAGTCTGTGTATGTGTTGGGCGCAGATGGAGGTAACAACTGCTAGCTATAAAATCATGAGCAACTTGAGAGAATGAATTTGTGACCTTTGTGGCTCTGCTGTGGTGTACTGTTTGTAAATAAACTTAGAAGCTAATGAGGTGTGATCCTTTATTTTGAAATATGGAATTGGATTTATCTACTTCATGAGCTTGACTCAGGAGTGAAGCATCACATACTGCATCTAGTGTAAAAGCCTCAGCTGTTTAAAGTTGCTCTTCGTGCTTATTGTGTGTGTTCTCTTTTCAGCTGCTCTTGGTGTACAGCAGCCATCGCTGCTTGGAGCCTCTCCTACAATATACACGCAGCAGACAGCATTGGCAGCGGCAGGCCTAACTACTCAAACACCAACAAACTATCAGCTAACTCAGACAGCTGCTTTACAGCAGCAAGCTGCAGCTGCAGCAGCTGCGTTACAGCAGGTAAAGAAAAAGGAGCATTTGCTGTTAACTGTATGAACTTTCACAATATAAAACAATGGCTTTGTAAAGCTAAAGTATCCAGGAGAAAAGCAGAGCGGGAAATGGTGAACATTGCAGTATAAACCTGTTTGAAAAACAGTTTTGATTTTAAGTGTACAGTTATTAAGAGTTGCATTAATCTGTGAAGGTGGGAATTTTGGCTGTGGAGGTGCTGACTTTTAGCTATGGAAAGCCTTTTGAGAAAAGGAGTTTTGCTGCACCTGAACTGAGAATCTGAAGTTCTAAGCACCTTCCATCACTATATGTATCCTTAACAGCATTCTACGTGATTTCATACTGTGTCCTAGATACTGTGTGGCAGGCTTAACAAAAATTGCTGATTTTAGCTAGAAAGAGTATGTCAGAGTCCACTCTAAATGCTAAGAATAGTTGTTATGAAAGTCATGTATGTTGATACCATTAGTTATGTTTTGTATTAGAATTGTTAAATGTGAATAGTTTCTGTCTAAAACTTGCTTAGCAGATAACTTGTATTTGGTATTATTGGGATAATAATACGTCCTGTTTATGAGATATTTTGCTTTTATCTGTTTCAGCAATATTCACAACCTCAGCAGACTCTCTATAGTGTACAGCAACAGGTTTGTCTGATTCTTACTGTGTACATCACAAATAACTTTAAAAATAATGTTGGTTGTATGTCTTGTAGGATTTGTGTCCGAAATCATCCTCGTATGGGAAGTAGTTAAAGAAACTAAGTAGTACTGTTTTGTAGTGAAAGAGAGCTTGAAGTTCATAAACTTGAAGAGACGTACCCAGAATGGGAGCCTGCCTACCTTCACGCAAAAAGGAAATTTAATACATACTATTCCATGTGTACACAATTCCTGCTAAACTTTGCTCTAAACAGGGCCGTGTATTTTAACTGCTGGAAATATGCTGTCCAAAAAAGTTCCCTTTTATGTTTTTTTTATGGTCTTTGAACGTAACGGGATTTTGAAAAAGAATAAAAGGACATGGAAATTACAGGCCTAACCTTCTCCAGCGGCCAAAACTTTTTTGGTGTTACTATTAACTTTCAGTTGCAAAACCTCCAGCATTTCTGCTTACTGAATAAACCTGGACTATACAATATTAAAATTAACCACATGAGAACAATTTTATGCATATGCAAACTGCTGAAATGACCCAACCCCAAAGGACTATTAACTGACTCAGATTAAGCAAAAACTCTGACTTGGTAAAGAGGAGGTAAAATTGTACAATTTCCTTAAGCATATAAAATTAATTTATAACTTTATTTATTTTAAGTTGCAGCAACCTCAGCAGACCCTTTTAACTCAGGTTAGTTTGGTTTTATTGTTTGGTCTTCATCCCCAAGCACAGATTATACAGGAGTGCAAATTTGTGACTCCTTGGGTAGTTTAATCTGTAAAACGAACTAATACGAGTGGACATTTTATTGGTACAGGTTTATTTTATCCAGATGTTAAAATATGCATAGCCTTTGTTTCAAAAATTAATAGCAACCACTTTTCCTTAATCTTGAAGGGAATATGTGCGTTGATTGTATTATAATTGGTTTTTTGTTTGTTTGAACTTCAAGTGTTCAGTTGTTTTGCAGTAAGTAACAAACTGGGAAAATACTTCTCTGAGAAGGAATTTAACTTTCTGTGCTAACAGTATTACAGTATGGGTATAGAGAAGTTTAAAAAGAATCTTGCTGGGGTCGACAGGTGTAAAACATGCAACCATTTAACATACTCTGAGTTGCTCTAGTTCCGTTTTCATTTAACCTTTTAAAAATGCTTTTAAACAAAAGGTAAAAATAGGTTACTGAATTTCATTATCTTACTGTTCTCCGCTTTTGTAAGACAGCAAGCGCGTGAATTGTTGAGTTAGGGAAGGATTCTTATTAGCCTCAACCTTTACTGGCTTCTAACACTACAGTTAGGATATAAATGGAGATTTATCTCTAAGTGTGTATTCCTGGCAAAGTTAGGAACTTATCTCCTCTTCAGGCCCACTACAGGTACGGGTTACCTCTAAACAGCAACACAGTCTTTTTTTTTTTTAACCTAGGGAAAACAGATTTATTGTTTTCTAAAAATTTTGGGAGGGTGGGGAGTTGGCTCTTTTAAAAGAAAAGAATAAACAAAGCCCAGTCTTCATTCAAAGTCAGAAAAAGTCATCATAACAAATAAAAAACCACAAACACAAAAACAAACAAAAACTTCCACCTTTATTCAGAATAATTGCTTTAGAGACATTTTAAACTCCTGTCTACCTTCTACTGCAGGAACTGTTCCTTGTAGGTATGTCAGCTGGTTATAAGATCTACAGTTCGCTTTATTTTGTTTACAGCCAGCTGTTGCGTTACCTACCAGTCTTAGCCTGTCTACTCCTCAGCCGGCAGCCCAGATAACTGTTTCTTATCCAGCACCCCGGTCAAGTCAGCAGCAAACCCAGCCACAAAAGCAGCGTGTCTTCACTGGGGTAGTTACTAAACTACATGATACATTTGGTTTTGTGGATGAAGATGTCTTTTTTCAACTTAGGTAAGATGTAAATACTTGCCTGCAGATGTACCCTGTGATACCCTCACTAAATAAAAGGTTTAGATTATTGCATTCTAATTCTGTGACTCCGCTGATAGTGCCTGCAGTTAGTATGTTTTTTCTGTCAATGCTGAAAGTCAATTGGTTGGAGAAGTTAATAGATGCTAGACCTGAGTTTTTATGTGAATTTTTGAGCTTTGGGTTTTTTTTTAATGCAAAGCCCAAAGCTGCGAGACTTAGAAGGTATTAAGCTCCTTATACTATGAAATTGTGGAATTTGTGGGTCATTAAATGCATATAATTTGCTGCCTGCTTATCTTAACTTGGTACTATTTAGGGAACTTCTGCTTTTGGGCCAACGACAGGAATTAAATTTCTGTGCATACTCCAAACTGAAGCAGATACTACTTTGAATTTGGGGGTAGACACTTACTTTTCTGTAAACTTTTTTCAGTGAATTTTGTTTACTTTCTTCCAACTTCAAATGTAACTTGCAAATATCAAACTAGCTAAATAAGACTCTCTCAATATATTTTCTGTCATGTTTGCAGTGCTGTAAAAGGAAAGACACCTCAGGTGGGTGACAGAGTTTTGGTAGAAGCTACTTACAATCCTAATATGCCATTCAAATGGAATGCACAAAGGATCCAGACACTTCCAAATCAGGTATATGGGGTTACGCAGTCTAACTTGTACTGACTGCTTCTGGTTTAAGCTCACTCGCAACTCATTTTCTATTCTGCTGTTAGAACCAGACTCAAGCTCAGCCGTTACTGAAGACACCTCCGGCAGTTCTTCAGCCCGTCGCGCAGCAGACTGCATTCAGTGTTCAGGCACAGCACCGGTGCTCGTTCAGTGCACAGAGTTTGTTGTGGTCCTTCTGGTGCTTAGTGCGTGATGATTGTTTTGTAAGTCAGAAGATGAAAGTAATAGTTGAAATAATATGGAAAGGACCCTACAGAATTTTCAGTTTGAATATGCGTCTTCCTGCAGCTATTTGCAAGGCACATTGCCTGCAATAGCTCAAGAATCACCTGGTTAGTGAAATCCCTGTGGACTCCTGTTTGTATTTAGATTTCATAATCTGAATGCAAATTCACTGTAATTTTTATTCTGACACTTTTACAGACAAGTTGGGAGTTGAAAGTATTAATGGCAGTGTAGTTCAGCATCTTCTGGAGTCTTCAACAATATCAGATTTCACACAGTTGTATTGTTAAAACTATTGCTTCTGTATTTGTGTTTTATTTATTTCAGTTAGCGAAGTTGGCATTTGAGAGAAGAAACACTGCTGAACATGGCAAATCTAAAACAAAGGTTGTTGTGGGTCACTTCAACTGCGAGTGGCTGAAGAATCAGTAATAGGATTGATAATAAGATAAAATTAAGGCTTGTCTTACCCACAGTGAAAACACAGGGAGAAGATCTTAAGCTGTCATCTAAGCAGAACTGTTTTAGATAAATGCTTATTAAAATCTAATTAGTCCTAGTCATTTGTTCATGTATAGTAATGTTTGCCTCATTTACAGTCGGTTTGTCGAATGTCTTGGGACTGCAAAAGTGTGTGCTGGGGGATTGATGCAGCAGTATCAATAAATTGATTTAAGAATAATTTTTCAGGAAGCTAACTTTTTTTGCCTATGAATAGCCTCAAAAATAAGTTTTAGATTTTCTTTAGTTCAGTGACCAAGTAGTATATCTATCTTGAAACAAATTGCTTTTGCAAGAAAAGGCTTAGTTATTTACTGTGATTAGCGTCTATGTGCTTAGATTATATTAGCTTCTATCTTTAAGAAGATGCTTTTACACCAATTTCTCTTACTAGAAGCTCAGTTTGCATCAGTAAATAAAAACGTAGTTCTCTTCAGTCTTCTAGGATGGGTGTTATTAATAGACAGATTTTTATGACTCTAGAGTTTGTTTAGAAAATGTACCCAAGTGAAACAACTGTAAAGCAGCAGCATTTGTAAAGTGTAGATTGTTGCCCCCTATTATGTATTGATCTTGTAAATTTTTGTTTCAGGTGGTTTGCTACAGCCCCCTGTTCGTCTAGTTTCACAGCCTCAACCAGCTCGAAGATTAGACCCGCCATCCAGATTTTCCGGGAGGAATGACAGAGGAGGAGACCCTATGCCAAACCGAAAAGATGACAGGAGGTATGTGGTCGAAGAGGGCTATTAATCAAAGCATTCCAAAAAGACCTCTCTTCAGACAGAGCTGAGCTGCTTGCTCCAGCATGAGTCAGTGATACGCACAAATGGCTTTACCATTAGATAGTAGTGAAGAGTTCTTGTCTATCTGAAATGAAGGAATTGCATAATCACTCTCTCGTCTAAAGAGATAGTGTACTGAAACAAACTATGGGGAATGTCTCTCCTGTTTGAGTCATCACTGACAGATCTAGCTTCTGTTGTGCTAGAAAGCATTTTGTGTTACCAGTATGCAAAAATATTGGTATCTTCTATGCATTTTTAAAGTCGTGAAAGAGAACGAGAGAGACGCAGGTCCCGGGAAAGATCACCGCAGAGAAAACGCTCCAGAGAGAGATCGCCTAGACGAGAGAGGGAGAGGTCACCTCGAAGACCGCGACGTGTCGTTCCTCGTTACACGGTTCAGTTTTCCAAATTTTCGTTGGACTGGTATGTTTATAGTGCCAGATGATTGCCTATATCTCACTTTAATTGTGGGCACATATTACTGTGAGCCGTGTCAACATGTGTGCGTGTAGTGAGTGTTAAATGATGATATTAACTTTAAAGAAAGATCAAATTTTTAATGGCCGAGAACCTTGTACAATAAACTTGCTAGGGTCTTTGTTATTTTTGAATGCTAGTGCAAAATACCTTTATAACCCTGTTTAATAAAAACTCCCTAATATGCAGACATCTTAATCGGCAGAGTGTTTAGTAGTCACTTGTTTTTAAACTTCGATCCATGACACTCTAAATATATTGCTCTATAAATTTTATATAAACAGTATTAAATATACAGTGGTTGTATTTCGAAATAACATACCTCCTAATTATGTGCTTTGTTAATGGTTGTTTTATTTCTGTTGTTTATTTCAGCCGTAGCTGTGATATGATGGAGCTGAGGAGGCGTTACCAGAACTTGTATATCCCAAGCGATTTCTTTGATGCTCAGTTTACATGGGTGGATGCTTTTCCTATGTCTAGACCATTTCAGCTGGGAAACTACTGTAATTTCTACGTAATGCATAGAGAAGTAGATCCTATAGATAAAAACGCTGCAGTCCTTGATCCACCAGATGCTGATCATCTGTACAGTGCGAAGGTATGTATGGGTTTCCAGTATTATGACTTTTCATTGGAAATTTTTTTACCAATAGGGTGAAAAAGTGAATATAACTGAACTGAAAATATTCTACAGTGATTTGAGCAAAATACAGCTTTTTAAACTTTACTGAAAAGAGCTAGTATTTAGAGCTTGAAGAATCATGACTGAAATTCTTTTTTTTTTTTTCTGTTACTAGAGCTGTCCTAGATCTTGTTCTTTGTGAGTTCTCTTCCATTCTGTGCACCCGGTTGCATTGATCTGATTGTAGGAAAGAAAGCCAGCTCCTGCAAGATTCCTCAATATATTTCTTAGGCAGTTAATTCTGAATAGTTGATAAAGCCCTTCAGGGGTTCTTTCTGTGCAGTTTTTGCTCTTCTGTTTAGTGATATCTTCTTTCTTTCTTCTTCCAGATTCATCTCAATGTTTATTATTTTGTTGAAAGTAGATTGAGCATATTTGGATTATCTAAATGTCAAAAAGTGCTGCATCAAGGGCTGTAATGATGTATAAAAGACCTCAGTGTCAAAACGTCTTCCTAAAACCTGCTACACTTTAAATCTATTTCATTGAAATAGGTCTGAGACTTCTAGGTCAATCTGTGTTGGAATTATTTCATGTTAAACATGGGTTTAGAAACAAAACTGCCTTTAACCTCTGTATTTCTGAAAGATTTAACTTCACTTGTCTTCTGTGTGCAAAAACTTTAAGCCTTGGCTTAAGTGTCAGACATACTGTTTTTTGCAGTCTATTGATGCAGAGCAAGAGCTCTCTTTCAGAAGGTTAAGCTTCAAAATATATTCAGTAGCTGAGGAATAGTATCCTGTTTCATAATGTTAACTTGTTTAGGATATAACACAACCTTGTTAGATTTGTCGGGGCTAATGGGATGCCACGAGGATGCAGATGAATGTGTTGGTCAGTTCTCTTGTGATTGTGACAAAACTGAAGAGGTTGGTTACAGAAACCAGAAGTGTACTCGGTGTGTGGTATAGGGTATTTGGCATATAGCGATAACATGTGAAGCATGTTGCTTTTAAATGCTTTCAGTTTGTTTTTTTTAATAAGATCACACGTTGCATCCATATGGGACAAAGGGCAGTTGGTCCTTGGCAGACATTTTAACACTCAGCTCTGCAATTTTATTTTACCTTGTTCTGGTTTTTTTTGTGACATTAAGGAAAAAGTACTGGTATGTATGTGTTTGCAAGTTGTGGTCACTGTTTAACAGTCATAGTGGGAGACCTTCACAAGACTGATCTGACTTACACAACAGGTGATGTTGATGGCTAGTCCTAGTATGGAAGATCTCTATCACAAGTCATGCGCTCTGGCTGAAGATCCTCAAGAACTTCGTGATGGATTTCAGCATCCTGCTAGACTTGTAAAGGTAAATATGCTTCAATGCCAGATGCTTTTGGCAATAAAGGTTGGTTATCGAGCTTTAAAATATTTGTCGGTAAGTTAGGAGTTTTTAGGAAGCGAAATGATGGCTTCATTTTTTCCTCTGAAGAGACCTAGTTTATGTGTCAATTCTTTTTCAGTTTATAGGAGCTCTGTCTTCATTGCTTCTTCAACTTAGTCCAACTCAAACAGTAGATATTTGGAGAAACCTGTGTTAATTATATAATAATAAACTTTGTTAGCTTTTTTTTTAGAAGCACTTAGACTTTTTTTAAGGGCTCAGCTGTGAAGAGAATACAAATGAAGCAACAGTTAAGTAACCATTGTATTAAGTGAAATTTAACTGTCCTTAAACTGATCAACCTGTAAGTGCTACGGTGTTTCAGGACAACACAGACTTGTTGTTCAATTAAACTCCATCATCTTAAAGCAATTGGAAGTACTTGAATTTACAGATACAATGCTCTTGTGGTCTTATCTTTTGTAGATTTGCTTTATCACTTTTAAGCAGGAGCGTCTATAAATGTGTATCAGAATTAAGACACCGTTTAAATTAGTATGTGTTTGTCTTTTGTGGTAGCAAGCTTTTAACTGCACAGGAACAAGCCTATGCAAATAAAGAAACTTGATGGAAAGTCTTGCAAACAAGAATGAGTGATGATGTTTTAAACCTATTCCATTTCTGAAACAATATGTGGAAAAAAATAACTGAACTCTTTCTTGACTGACTTTCATTTTCAGATTTCAAAATAATGTGACAGTACACTCATGGATTTCAGTGTGTATGCTATGAAATACTCCTTTTGCTTTGGGAATGTGACTCTTTACCCCTAGCAGGGGAACATTCAGAAGACTCTTTTTGTCTAGTTTTTAGTGGGTATGAAAGGCAAAGATGAAGCTATGGCTATTGGAGGACACTGGTCCCCATCACTGGATGGACCTGATCCAGAGAAGGACCCTTCCGTGCTGATAAAGACGGCTATTCGCTGTTGCAAGGCTCTTACAGGGATTGACTTAAGTGTGTGCACGCAATGGTAAGTACTGTACTGCAAGGCAAAGTACACTTTATAAATACTTGTCTGTTACCAGGAGTTAAAAAAAAAAAAAAGATGGGAAACCCTTTTTTTCTTTGTCAGCTGCTCTTGGTAGTGCAGGTAAACTACTCAAAAGATGTTCTGTTTGGTAATAAGCTTGATTGGTGCCAATTGTGCTGAATACTGCATTAAGAACTAATTAAAAACTCTGTATTTATTTTGACATTATGCTGTAATTTTTTGATGATTGTGTGTTGAAAATATTTTTCATTTTGTGCATAGCTGGAGAAGATCGTCAAGAGAACTTCATTTCATTGTTCTTTTGTTATAAATAAATAAATAGCCGTTTGTTATATAGCCATATTTCCTCTTGATGAGTTTTTGTCCTGTGTTAACACTCATTGTGGTTTTACTAACACCAGGAAAGTCTATTGTATGCTAAATTTGAAGTGCTTCAGCAACATTTATTTGCACATTAAACCTATGTGTGCTAAACAACAAGTTATATAAAAAAGAATTTTGTCGGTTTTTCTCCTTTTCAATTGTGATACCTTTTTACAAATGTGCCAAAAGAGAAAATATGGCTTCCATAATTTTTTTCTTTAGATAAACTTCAAGGTCTTGCAGCAAAGTTTCTTTACTTGATGTGCTACAAGTGATCTAGGCTCTTTAAAATGTATTGTAGAATTTTTTTTCCAACATGCTTCTTCCCTTGCAACAGGTACCGTTTTGCAGAGATTCGCTACCATCGCCCTGAGGAGACCCACAAGGGGCGTACAGTTCCAGCTCATGTGGAGACAGTGGTTTTATTTTTCCCGGATGTTTGGCATTGCCTTCCCACCCGCTCAGAGTGGGAAACCCTCTCCCGAGGATACAAGCAGCAGCTGGTCGAGAAGCTTCAGGGTGAACGCAAGGAGGCTGATGGAGAACAGGCACTGAACGCTAATCCCTTTTTCTATTTCTGCTTCTCACAGGCACAGGAACACAGGCACAAAATGCACACCACATACTACACAACATACATACATAGGAGGAACATAACTGGTAACAATGACTGGTAAACCAGCTTTCAGCAGTGTAGTGAATGTTGGTTTTTATTTTTATTTCAGCTAGTTCACTAACTTTTAAGTGTGTATGCTGATACCACAAATGGAATTAAATTGTGCTTATGACGCGCAGAAACTTTTTTATCATAGACGTAGTTGCTGGAATCTGGGACCAGTTGTTGAGTGAGATGCAGTTTATGAATAGCTGTCTTAAAACATTTTGCCATTTTCTAAAATTCCTAAATTCTTTCTTGTGGCCAGTTCTAATTGTGGTACTTAAAATTGAACAAACACTAGTCTGAAACATCTGTATTTCAGGCCATGTGGCTGATCAACTTCTTGAAATAAGGGAAGGTCTGACTGAACAATGAGTAACTTGGGGGTTTTAAAACCTGGAGGAAGATCACACACTGTGTGGTTAATGGAGACCAACAGTGTCTGTGTAACCCCCGTATTCTTTGTGGTGTTGCTTATCACCCTTTTGTGTTCCACAGATCTGGCTTGTATTGGCTGAGTGGCACTGTGATCATTTATAAAGTGGTAGAATGTGTGTGTGAACTTGTCTAAATAATAACTTTAGGAGAAGACTATCTGAAACAGTTGTGACCTTGCACAGATCAGCAACAGAATTTAAAAAATAACTGAAATTCTTTCAAGCTTTCTGAATGATAATTTCTAAATTTTATTTGTCAGGACGAAGAGGAAAAGGATGATGGGGAAGCTAAAGAGATCTCTACACCTACACACTGGTCTAAACTGGATCCAAAAACAATGAAGGTAACTAACGCTTTTCTTAAAATTTGCTTCCTTTGTACGTTTTCATTTTTAAGGCATGACCTGAAATACAGCTGTATATTCCCTTAACTTCAGTGGTGTTTTATCTTCCTTGCTGATTTTATAGGTATTAGATGCGATATCACAGTATGCAAGTGTGACTCCTGATTTTAATAAGTGAATATAGCTAATAGAAACTATTTTGAACTTTGTACAATTAAAGTGTATCACATATGATACATTTACTGGAAAATTAAAATTCTTAAGTAATCTGGTTGTATGTGCTTACATTAAAAAATGTGGTGTCTAAAATCCTTTAATGTTAGTTTAAAAAGGCAGTAATTGTACAAAAATATACGTCAGGAGAGGTAATAAATTTCCTCAAAAGGAATAATGGTAATAAACTATTTTACTATAGTAAATTCTTTCC